AATGGATTTCAGTTTATACTGGGCGAGGTCTTTTAGTTTCCCATCCCTCCTGTGCAAAGTTTGTTTAGTTCTGATTTATCTACAGTATATGTGAGTTTGTAAGCCTGTGTGTATATTTTATATTACACATCTCATCTTTTAAATGCATACCGCATCGATGTGGTGACAGCACTTAGTTGTCTGACTTGGAGCTATAACTCTAGCTAATCTCTTACAATGTGTCCATTTTGTAAACTTTTTTTGTATTTGATCAATATGAAACTAATTGTAACAGCTTTATGTACTATGGTGCATTTCTATATGTCAAGAAATCATATTTTCCAAGCTGATTAAATGTTCTGTGTAAAACATCTTAACCTGCAAAGTAACTAAACATGACAAATAAAAGTAGTTATGTAAAAAGTACATTTTCCTAAAGTATAATGAAGTAGAAGTATAAAGTAACATCAAATGAAAGCATTCAAGTTACATAAAAGTGCACTTAATTACAACCCTTGGATAAATATACTTAATCATAATCTGCAACTGGTACATTACTGTGGTCTGTTAATGAAAAAAGTATTTGCAGTACTAATGTATGATGAGGATGTTCTTTAATGCTGACCACTGTAAAAAGTGCTAATGCAGATGTACCACATGCACAGTAGACCCATGACTAAGATTCTTCATAACACCATGATCAGACCTCAAGATCCTTCGTGATCCTGTCTCTGAACTGTTCCTGTCTGATCCCGGCTCTGGATTGTTGTTTCAGATCCTTGGCTAAAAAAAAAACAGCTCTGGCTATGAGAACAGGCATTCAGGAAACTGATAGGCGGTTCCTGGGTTTTGGGTGACTTACTCTCACTCAACACATGTGGCGGCTGGTCCTCGGGAGGTAGAGGGGTCCTTCCCTGCAGGTCAGGTTACCCGGAGCAGCCAAGGGCTAACCACTACCATCTGGCCTCACCTTCCATGTTCACTGCTGCTCCAAAGCTCAGTGGTTTCCACATGGCGCCCCACCATCGCAGACATAACCCCTGCAACACACCAACACACAGGGATACACACACATCAGGTACAGTACACACAGCTATGCATATTCACATACTATGCACACATTTTGTACTGAACACATAAAAATGAAAGCAGAAAATTCCTGTGTGTACAGCACACACAAATACGTCCCAGTAAAAAGAATCAAATTTACAAAGTACATTTTACAAAGGCAGAAAAGAAATTAGAAAGACAAGACTAGAAAGAGATTAACAAAGCAGTTAATAAAATCACACAGAGTATAACTGCAAAAGAAAAAGCCAAAAAACAAGATAGTTTTGAGATGCCTTTCTAATCTTGTTTCATAAATGTATATCATAAATTAGGACACATACATGTACACTGCACATAAGACAATATCCACATACTGCACATACTGAATTCAGACACAATGCAAATGTACACGCAAACTGTACCTACACCTACGTTAAGTTACATATGTAACACTGCATAAAAGTGAAACCACATGCACGTATATTCACATATATAAGCAGCAATGTGCTAAGCAGGACTGGGCACTGCTCTTCTCTCTGCTTCACACAATGAATCTCCGAGACAGCCTGTGCTTGAAGCCTCAGTCCACTGTCAATAAAGCTAATGCTATCACAGGCTCTGTGTGCAGTGTAATCTATTACAGTTATGTGGTTTTACATACAGCATCTGGAGGTTGATTATAATTTCATTTAATTATAGCATTTGAGATTAAAACTACCATTGTCTTTTATACAGAATCTAGATAAATGTTTAAAGGGACCGTGGGTGCTGTACTACACAAACATTACATATTTATTTTTGAAGCAATTTTTATTGACTCTATATGTAAAGAAATGTGTATGGAGCAAGGGAGAGCATGGATGATGTGAAAGAGGTCATGAGCTGGTTCGACCTCAAATTAGCACTGTTTTCCCTCCATGTTTCACTGAACTTGGTGGTTTGCTGACACCAAACCCTGTTAAAACGATTAAGTCCTTTTTTTTTTGGACTTTCTAGTGATGAACTAGAATTTCTGTAGCTGATGCTCTTTTCCTGGGTGGTCAAATGTGGTGTAACTGCTAATGTTTTAACTAATCAGACAACTTCACCTGTTTTCTAGCCACTGAACAGAGATTCAGTCATTAGGGACAGTTGTGACAGATTTAATTAAAAAGGAGGAAAAGAGAGGAGCCAGTTTCTCTCAGTACATTATAGTACTGAATACTGTAGAGCACAACATAGCCTCAAAGTAAAGAGAAGCAGCACTGAAGGGAACGTGTACATCAAACTGCTTTGGATCATCCGACTCATTTCAACTGATCAAAAAGCTTTTTTTTTAAATAAAAAATTATCTGACCTTTATTTAAACAGGATGGTTAAATAGATAGATGGATTCTATTCCAGGACAATCAAAGCCAAAAGGGAACCATAAATCATGAGGTACACACAGGCAAGGGTGAAAAGAACAGGATAAGTTGAATTTAAGTTACATTTATGCATAGTATATTATCCAAAAGGCTGCTGCCGAGCATATAAAACACATGATTTCATGTGTGACAAACGATTTTTCTCAGGTTCCAATAACTGGCACGTTTTTAGAAATTTCTTTAATGTACTGTATATGTGCGGAGTGGCAGGTATACTATACCACGAGATGAAAAACGTTTGCCCACCATAAGAAATTTTGCCGTACTAGTGATAACCAGCTGCAGCTGTCTTTTTATTATCTTTGATTGCAGAGTACTGTTTGTCATTTTAGGAAACAATGCAAATCATTCAACATTAATGCTTTATAATACTAGGTGCACATGACTGTTGCATCAGTGTGGTCAAGAAACATTTTCTTTATGAGCATGTTCTTTAGAGGGTTGTTAGTAGAGAGATGGAGAAACAAGCATCCAGGGTCGTCAGGAGGTTTCAAACCGAGGCCATCAAGTTTGCCACATGAAGATGCTACCATGTGATTATTTTAACATTTCTATATTATGATAAAAACTATTCAATAATCAGTGAAAGATATTATCCATATTGCCCACTGACCCAATAAATTATATGCTCCCGCTGACCTTAAGTGACTCTGCTTCTTGTTTACCAAAGTGAAAGAGACAAGACATTTTAAATCCCATCAGTCATCCTGCATTTACACACTCAGTGCCAGATGTAAAAAACACACCACTGCAGCTTTAGAGAAGAATACCCAGGATAAATTCTCTTTAGCACACCGTTGCACCTGTGACATACAAATAATTTGCTTCTCATAGGTTTACACTGCAAAAAACAATAGCATCTGTGGCGCTGGGTGACAACTTATCTGCCCCAGCTGAAACAGGAACAACATGCTTTGTCTCAGCGGTAATCTTTGATCAGCTGAAACGCTTTGTGATAAACACTGACTCGATCCCCATGGGCAATCACTCTATAGTGCTGGCATCAGGGGAGGTAATGTATGCATAGACATGTTGAATATGCCTCAGGCCCTCACACACACACTCATGCAAAACACACACACACACAAACATACACACGGTGAGATGAATTGCTACGCCACCTAGAATAAATACATATCAGCTACAGTGAGCTGGGGCGCTTTGCTCTTTCCTATTAATCCTCAGCATGGTGATTTATTGCAGTGTGCTTGTCAACAGCCATATAGTCTCCTGGAACTGTGGCCAGACGGCAGAAATAGTGGAGTTTAAGACTAAGGCCCAGCAGCTGCCTTCTACTCTATTTATGTGCATTCTGGTCCATACTGAGAGTGAATATATGGGTTGGCTGAACAACAACAACATTTTGTGCAGAGAGGAATGGGGCTGTAAAATAATCTACTCATCATAATCCAACGTATAAATTGATGTCTTCCCAGATGTCATTGCTGTGGAGATTTGCATTTGCCAAGGTGAAAGGCCTGGATGCTCAGCAATCACTTCTGTGCCCGAGAGTGAATACTGAAGGCATCTTCTGTAAGTGACTTTATACAGTGTGTGTGCATGGTAGTGCATATACAGCTAAGAGGGTTAACACATTTATTTGATTGATATGACTACAACTGAAAACCACAGCACAGCAGTGGACTCTTATTGAAGAGCGCCATCTAGTGGCAGTTAAACCGAGGCATTTAAAGGATAAGTCTATGTCTCGCTACATACTGAATGTACAGTATATACACGTATATATACTGTATATGGCAGAGCCACTCACTAGAGCACTAATATGGATTAAATCACGAACACACCATTTACACCTGTGTAGGAGAAGTCAAAGTACTGAGAAGCATGAAAACATTGATTTTACTTTGTGATTTGCTGCGAATAACCAAATACAGAAGAGCAGCAGCTTTATCCTTAAAATTTCCAGGGAAATCACATCTACATTAATTGTGTGAATTTATCAAATATGGATTTGGTTGAACTGATCTGATAATCTCATCTCAAGGTTCATTTAGTTGCTGTTCTGGAGCCTTCGCTGATCTTCACTGGTTGCAGAAGCTACTGAAGGGCGGGGTTATTTTGTCATCTGCTCTTCCCAAGCTCAAGAATGAACCCAACTTTGAGTCTTTATAAGTAAAAAAACCCTCAAAGTCCCTCAGAGTAAAGGACAAAAAAAAAAAAAAAAAAAAAGAGAAAACATCTGATTTTCATCTGGCTGTGACTGAAATAACTCTTGTGCTCAGTTACTCACTGCTCCCTGAGAGGAAGCTCAATAGTTTACGCTGAGGTGAGCAGTTAAGTGATATGGAGACAATGGTAGTATTAATCACTGTCTATCTATTAAATGTGATATATTGCACTGTGGGATTGTTAATGTAGTTTATGACATGCAACCTTTTTTCCACATTCATCCCATATTGCACATAAATAAGTTACTGCTGTTACACTTTACAGTTGCATTATATGACTGAAATTTCCACAACAGCTACTTTACAACCCTTGAGGCAAGATAGTTTTTTTTTAGCTTCTGTATCCAAGGTCAAAAATGAGCTTTGAACCTGAAACCAATGCTTTGACTCATTTTATTTTGAATTGACAGTCACAACACACAATGTAGAAAGCCCAGAACAGGTAGAGCACCTTTCTCAAACCACGGACAACAAGGACACTTTGACTTGATGGCTACAAAGATAAGATAAGGCCACTACAGCATTTGTCTGTTTGAGAGAAGTCAGGGCCTCTAAACGGTACAAACTAAAAGGTCTACAGATGTCACATAAGACTCGCACGATCAGCTGCTGAATTTCACAGATGATACAGAAAATTACTGTAGCTAATGTTGCAATGCAAGGAGGGGAGTTCTTATGAAAGAATAATATTGTTAAAAATGAGGTGAAAAGTTAAGACTATACATTTTCTGCTATTCTCTACAATATAGTAACAACACTGTTCTGACATATTGATATACAGTGACGCAGTATATCCATCTCATTTAGCACAATTTCACTTCACTAATCTTTGAAATAATTCTGAATACTTTAAACACATTTTTGTGCAAACATACATCCTTCAATGTGTGTCCCAACCTGCTGTATTACAGTGGGATCACTGTAGAGAGCCACAGCTAGATGGTGCTGTGAGGCTGCAGCTGCAAATAAGACCCATCTTCCTCACCAGTCCAAAACAAACCCACCTGTCTCCGCTCTACCTCCTGTTTTTCTCAGCTCTTCTCCGTCACCATTTCTTCTTCACCTCTACATCCTCTAACTGCCTCTTCATCGCTCCTCATCTCTCCCTCTCTCTGCTTACACCCATCTCCCTCCCTGTGTACCCCCAATCATGGTGTCCACAGCTTCACTCTGTCCTCTACAGAGCAGGCACAGCCCGAGTTTCACCGCCAGAGGTCAGCAGCTGCATCAGGCTTCCAGAAGCCGGCCGGTTCGCCCCGGTGGCCCAGGTGAAAAACGTTCTGGAGTAAAGCAAAAGTAGTATTAGGGATTGTACTGAAGTACAACCTCTCCATTTATCCGGGTTTGGGACCGGCACAGGAGTCACTGGCATGAAACCCCCGTGGCTAGAGGTTCCCCGACTGGGAATCAAACCCAGGACGCAGCGGTGAGCGCTGAATCCTAGCCGCCAGGCCACCAGGGACAAATGCCTCAGTAATACAAAACCCTGCTTGAGGGGTACATGTTGTGTCTACTCATGACAGTGAATTTCTACATTTATCTGTGAAATTTCATTTCAGAATCATATCATACTAATACACTGCATTTAGTACCATCCCCTAGCAGTAACTGTACAATAGTACTGTATAAATTCAAAATATACTGCAACTTAGCAAGTGACTTATGCATGATGACTCAGGCCTTTGTTGAATTTGAGGATGTAACTAGTTCAGACAC